GTGTGATTTTTTTTTGGGTGGGGGGGGAGTTCTCCGACAAGAGCAAAGTGAGCGTGGTCCGGTGTCAATTAAAATGTTTCGAAAGTGGTCCATGGGGTGGAACAATCAATTTAGGGGTTTCAGAGGGTTATTCAGTCGATTCTAAATAGATACTTGGGGTGGGGGGGTGCGGAAACAAACTTACTAGGGAAATTTCTCCCCACCCCTGTGCCCCCTGTAGTGCCGCCACTACACATTAAAAAGCAAATAAAATAAGCACTAGACATGATTCGTATCATAATACATTGAGTTTTAATTCATACTACTGGTAATAGTTCAACAACTGAAATTCTCACTGGGAACATCTCCCTATCCACGATCGAGAGAGGAATTTTACTGATTTGAGTTAGCCAGATTTTCGTACATTTCGCAAAATAACGGAAATATATATGTATATTTTTTAAATGGTGAGGCAGCGAAAAAGGATGTGGGAGGTGACAAGAAACTAGTTTTTTTTTTTACTTGGCCTTTCATGTTGTTAGGGGAAATATTTGGAAAGAATGTTTTAGAAAAGTGATCTTTCCTAATTTATCGACAAGTGACAATGGCGCTTGTTGTAGCTCCTGTTCCATGTGTTTTCCTTGTTACTGTTTTCTTCAGTCCTTTCCCTCACTTAATTTTGAGATTTTTTACCACCTAAATACATTTGTATTGTGTGTTTTCCTGTAATTTGTCCTTGTTTTCCTTGTTTAAGCGCATAGAAATATTTAAAAAGATTGCCTTAAAAATCCCAAGATTCGCAAAATAGTGCATATAGTGTACATACAACTTCATTTAAAATTCCAATTATAAAGCTTCTTCAATGAATTTCTTTATACTGTACTGTAATTTGTACTGTACAGTATAACGAAACAATGTCTGGATTTTCGAGACTAATAATTCGTTCGTTTTGATGATTCAATTACTGTGTAGAATTTTCTCAAGTTAGGGGTGAGGATGATTGTGGGAAATGTTATATATAAATTAAAATTATATACATGAAAATGACAGGGCAACTGTTTTTATTATATTTGTACAGTATTACACAGAAAATATTCTAGCAGCATACTTTTAAATAGATAAAAATAAAAGGCTTTGATTTTTATAACTGCGGGAGGTGTAAGCTGGTAAGAGTAAAGTATTTTTGATAATTTTTTTTAACTTATAGTTGTCAAAATAAAACACAATGAAAATAGCTTTAAACAACAGCATTATCAGAAGAACTGAAAAGCTACTAAGCTTCTAATGGAAAAAATAAACAACCCTCATTTACAACTGTCATACGTGTTATAAGGCCAATAGCAGCCAATTGGTTCACTTCTCAATAGAAAAAAATTATTAAAAATTCCATATCATTTCAAAAATCCTAAGATTTAATGAAAAGTTTACAGAAAATCCCAAGATCCCAAAGGAGATAAATCCAAAGCATGAGTGGTCACATTGCTAGCGATATGATGCTCTTATAGTTGCCAGACGAACTTGCAAAAATGCTCCCGACGGCTATGTATTATATATTTTGTAACATGAAATATTATTAATAAATTAGCTGATTTATTTAGGTTTCACTGATGAAAAAAAAAATCACTAATTAATAGAGCCCCTGACAAAGCAGTTAGGCCTAAAATAATCGTAAACTTTAATTTCACCATCTCCTTCAGGAACGAGCAACCAACTGCAATGCTATTTTTGTGTACACTAATAATACTGAAACTGGGATAGGACTATGAATTACGTTACATTATTGTGAATGGGTGTACATTTATGTCACGTTTACATAATAGGCCAGATAACGCCAAAGTAGCAACTGCCGACTTCTTATTCGAGCACAGGACCTACTAACCACTGTCCATATATTTTACTGAGCTATAAACTCAGGTTGGTAAAATCCATTTGCTTCGAAAATTACTGAAGAAATCTAGAAGATTTGGTTACCATGCTTCCTCAAAAAATACTAACATTTTATGGTGTACGGTAAAAATGGCCCTGGTAAAAATGTCCCCAAATGACTGGTAGGTAAAAATGGCCCTGGTAAAAATGTCCCCAAATGACTGGTAGGTAAAAATGGCCCCCAATAATAAAATTCTTTATTAAAACTGATTTTTTAAAAATCATTATATGCATTTTTTAAAAACTGAATAATTTAGTTTTTAAAAAGAATCTAACATCAAATAAATAGCCATTTATATTTTACTTTTTGCAGGAATTACACATTAAAAAATAAAAAAAATAAGCTATGAATAACCCTTTTTATTCTTTTTCCCATTTAAATGTTAAAAAATAGCAACAATTTAATCAATAAATCAACATAAATCATGCATTTATTAATACTAAAATAATTTATTTGTGGCCAATTTCACGGAAGCGGAATCACAATTTTTCTGAAATTCAATCCGGGTATTGCTAAACCCTGCAAAAATGGGTTGATATGAACATCAAATTATTATTTTTTTAAAGAGAATAATAATAATAATAATAATAATAATAAATACTTAGCCCTAACAGCCGCTCATAAAAAAATATCTATTAATTAATCAATCGTGACGTCATCACTGTAAAAAAGGACGTCTGTGACTGTATTCCCTCTCGAATGCTGAAATTATTATTATTCATCGTATCCGTACTCTGTATAACTGCTGATGTGTGTAGATGAGTTAAACGCGTACTGCAGGAGGCAAAAATCAGCATACGCACAGCTAAATGTAAATACGCACACGTATATTGATCATATCACTATAGCAACCGATGGCTGCTACAACAGTTGGTTATAAAAAAGTAAAATTAAAAGACAGCGATTGACTTATAAAGCAATTATTAGAGCATGCATCGTACACTAAACGGAAAATTATTATACTTAGGTTAGATTTAATGCATTCAAAAATTTTCTTCGGGCCTTGCAGGCCCTCAGGAAATTTTTTCAAGCATTAAATCCAACTTTCGTACAATAATTTTCCTATAGTGTACTATGCGGAGCTCTACTAATTGCTTATTAGTTTTCAAATACAGGGTATGCATATGTTTTCTGTAAATTGATTAATTTATTTTTTTATTTAATTTTATAATTGGGGCCATTTTTTATTTATTGATTCAATACATGCTATTTCACAGTATTTAAATATTTGAAGATTTAAAAAAAAAGTAATTTCTATTAATGAATTATTTCATTGGGGCCAATTTTACCTATTTGTCATTTGGGGCCATTTTGACCGGGGCCATTATTACCAGGGCCATTTTTTCCTACATCCAAATTTTGCTAAGTTTTAGATTATTTGCTGTAAATGAAAACGTGGGAGTACTTTTTGTAAAATTAGAAATTCTAAGCTTAAATCTGTCAAGCATGTCTTTGGTCACTAAATGGTGGTGATGAAGTTAAAATAAAAAATTTAGAAGACCTCATTTTCAAAATAGTCATAACGCTTAATTTATATATGCAGAGTTTAATCCATGTGAAAAAAAAAAAAAAAATAGCAAATATCCAGAAATACATATAATTTGATAATATATACACATACAATTCATTATGCAAATAAATCCTTATCAATATCCAACATAAATCAGTACTGACAAACTACAACACATGTGTTTAGTGCTTATAATCTCATACTCAGAACAAAACAAATTGTTGAGTGACTGTCTTGAAATATCGCTATATTTCGGTTGGCTCACATTTAAACAATCCACCGCATCGTGCAGCCTTGATAGATCTACATATTAGCACAACAAATTTACTTAAATACAGTATTGTAAAACAACCCCACTCCTTCATAAAATAAAATCTCTAAAATCAGCAATATAATGACGTCATGTCAAGTAAACAGTGGCATATTTAGGTCAGTGGTATAACGCCTATGCGCTCTCATGCGGCGGTCTGCAGGGCCCCCAAATTTTAGGGGCCCCGAAAGGGCCCTACCCATAGGTTCCTCAATCTAGTATCCTGACCAAAAAAGACTTGTTGATAAATAACACCATAATGTGACGCTGAAATCGACTGTAGGGCATACAGTATATCATATTATAACGATTAAAGCGAGGGGGCCCCCCTTCTCGGCCGGGACCCCACCAAATTTGTCAACAAAAAATAAAAATGGAGATAAAAAGAAAATTATATACACAATTTTAAGTCTGTGAGTGCCATTTCCGGCCATCTAGACGTGCCATCATTTTCTTTTCTCAGCCCACAAGGGAAACAGCATAATGTGTGTCTGAAATCGACTGTAGGACATTTATTATATCCAGTGGCGGAATAAAGAGTGAAGGTGAGGGGGAGTTGCCGGCCTGGAGCTGCCGGCCCGGGCCCCACTAAATTTTTAAAATATTTTTCAACTGGAGATAGTGCCATTTCCGGCCATCTAAAGGTGCCATATTCATAAATTTTCTTACCTCAGCCCCAACCACGGTGGGTCTGAGGTGGTATAGACTCAACTATGAAAATCCCTCCCTGGACTCAATTTTCTGGATCAACATTATATAATTTATTCGTCGTTAAAAACATTTAGAATAACAATGCATATCTAAAATCCCACGATGGAATTGGTGACCCCAGGACCAAAGACCCCATCGTTACACCACTGATTTAGGTGTCTTGAAATAATGGGGGGGGGGGGAGAATCGCGAAGATGCAGATGGGGCCCTGATGATAAGTGACAGCACACAAGGTTGCAAAATAATGTACGAGGTGATTTTTTTGCTACGGACATTTTCACTGTGGAGGAGACTGTGGGAGCATTTTGGCCTCTGTGCACCACCCTAGATGCGCCACTGCAAGTAAGTCATACTTGTAAGGTTTACTGTAATAAATCGGAAAAAATAATGGTTCATACATTCTCAGCTTTAAAAATTGCGGGTGAAAATAAATATTTTGGTTTCGAATATTTAAAGTGTTTCATAGTCTCAATGCTATTAAGCCAAAAATACATTCTGATCTTCACATTTCCTATTTGTTCTCATATTACAATGTCATACAATGTTTCTAGAATTATATAAATTTTAAGTATTTATATTCCAAATATTCTTAACAAAACACACTTTTTCTATATAAAATCATACATTTTGAAAATAGAATATTTCCATCAGTGGCAATTGAAAAATAATGTATCGATAAGAACAAAATAAAACAAACCAAATATATTGTAAACAACACCAACAGAAATATCAAGCAAAAAGAGTTTTCTAATCAACTTTACAGGCCCAGCTTGGGATTTAAACCAGTCAGCTGACCAGCCCATTTGTGTGGTATTGAGTATTATATAAAAAATAATTCTGTGGCTATTGCAAATTATATACATTACAAGACTGTTCTTTTTTTTTTTTTGTTAAAAAAAGCATATAAGGCTGTTCTTGCAATATGCACTGAATAAATGGAAAATCGATAGTTTATCAGAAATATTAATTACTTTAACAAAAGGTTGTGGGTCACCTATATGTTATTAAAGCACTCTGTGGTTAAAACAAAACATGCAATAGTGAAATCAGCAGATGAAAATGGCATATTTAAACAAATAACTGATTATTGCATAATACTTATAGTATTTACAATTACCAACACTATCACACACAAAAAGGTATTCATATGTTCTGTTTTAATTATTTCTTGAGATTTTTTTTTCAGTTCAATAACAGAAAATTAAAAATGTTTTGTCCCACACAACCATGTGACTAAGAGTTGAATTTCATAATTGAAGCTACAGTAAATGAGACCATGGGAATAGATGCAATGAAACTATTAAAAAGTTACATAATGATTATAGAATGAGTAAATATAGATTCACATTAATCATGCATCAGACTACCACAATTAAGTGGATTTCCCAAGCAGTTACCTGGTCCAATACTGCTGGTGTTTCACAAATATACAGTAACATATTTCCAAAATATAAACAGCCAATAGAATAGTACACATGTTTAATGATATTGTAATAGATTTCTTTCCCATTTAAAATTATCCTCATAGCATGGAAGTATAAAAATATTTTATACTTCCATGCTCATAGTAATACACACTGAACACAATGTGACTATACAACAGAGCAAGTTTACTATAGCTGCATACTGCTATTGCTCTCTGTGAAAATTGGTCTTAAAAAAAGGCATAGAGCTTGTCACAGGGAATCAGGGCCAGAAGTTTACTTACCACTTGGCTGACAGCTGCTAAGATTTTACTTTTGCTCTACATAATTCATGTTGTAGGTCTAACAGAAGTCTGTCTGCTTTACTTTTCCTTAAAACGTTTCTTTTTTCTATTTCAGTCTCTCTTTCATTGTTCCTGTTCAAATTATTTTTTTCATTTACCACATCTATAAAATCATCACTTGTATGTCCAGCTTTAAGTTCAAAACTGTCTCCTTGGTTACATAAATCATTTGATAAATATTGCATTTCTTTGTTGTTAGATTGGTTAGTATTCAATACTGTTGTGTCTGATTGGGTCTCTGATGATGAGCTTGAGAATGATTGGCTCTTGGACCTCAACTTCCCACATGATTGGCTCTTTGATACAGGAATTGCTTTTCCAACAGTCCTGGTTGATATTGGAATTCTGCTACAAGGACTTGGGGATCTAAATCGCAATGATTTTTTCCTTTCTCCTGAAGTGGTCTGAAATCAAAATTAATCAATATTATCAATTTGTCTTACTATATAATTCATATCTTGACTTTTCTTAGATCATTAACAATACTTACAGTGGCGGATTCCGCAGGTGGGGAGCCAGTCTGGACCCACTCCAAATTTTTCAAAATTGTAAAAAAAAATAGAGAAAAAAAGGAAATTACATCCAAATTGGAAGTCTGGGAGCACCGTTTCTGGCCTTCTAGAGGTAACATAATCGTAAATTTCCTTACTTCAGCCCCAACCATGATGAGGCTGAGGTGGTATAAACCCTCCCTGGGCCCCCTCTATTTTTTTAAATTCCTGGATCCGCCACTGATTTAATTATAAATGGCAAGCCCTTTTACAACACAAACACAAGATGACCCAAATATAACTAAGTCTCATTAAGAGGCTTAGAAAGTGGCGTTGTTTTAGGTAGTGAGACAATTTGACATGAATTTGACATGAATTGTACCCAGTGCCAAAAGAAAACATTATAAAGACTGCTATAAACACAACAAAACACACAACAAACTATGAAAGGGGTTTTTTTTAATATACATGTACTGCACCTATCCGATGCTGTTTATATGAATTGTACTTTAAATGTTTATAGTTCACATAAATAATAAAAATGAAACCATAAAAACCAAGGATAAACAGTCCTCCCCCCCACCCCACAAGCTGCTAATTATGACCATGGAACTATCTTTAATTTGAGGGAGACTTGTTATCAATTAAAAGAAAATCATAATATAATGTACATGTACATAAACAATGTAAATAGAAGAAAGGAGTAGCCAAAACGGGTGTGGATTGATATCACTTGACAGCTAGAGCTTGCACAGGGTTGAGAACATAAGTGAATGAAGCACAAAGGGCGTGTTTCTGCTGAATAACGCCAAAAACACGTGTTTTTTATAAACGGTTAAATTCCTTCTGAACGCGTTTCTAGTAAAAAGTGCAACTAATAAAAACATGGTAATGCATGAGCATTGGCAGGTGGGCGCAGAGCTTAAACGACGGTCACCAACAGAAGTTGAAGTTGACCTTACTTTTGCGAGCTACAGCGCATGCTGCAAAAGAAGTAAACAACACACCACGAAAGTATGAAAAAAGTATGGTATGATCTTCAAGCCTGTCATCCTATTGGTTTAATTTTATTTTTCGCCCCGAATTTCCCGCATACCAGCGATCAAACCAACGAAGAGGTCAATTTGGGTAACTGACGGGTCATGACTAACACGGTATTGCGTTGCAGCTGAAGAGTGTACCACAAAACACGCGTTTTCTGAACACGAACCCTATAACGAATGCATGTAAAAACACGCATTTTTAGAACGCATTCTTAACCGTGTTTTTGTTTTGTTTCTACTGGGGAAAAACACATGTTTTTTAATAACCATTTAAAAACACATGTTTTTTTGCTCAGCAGAAACACGCCCTAACAAGCTCACATGGACTATTTACTGTGTACATAAACAATTTAAAAATCAATTTGGTAAATATGCAACAAGACAACTAATATAGGGTATAAAATACTTTATGAATGTCTATGAATTTGAATAGTAAAGGTGGGTGATTTGTATGGTACATACTACATGGTCTCAATCTACCATATTTAACTGGAATATAAAATAATTATATAGTAGTACTGTACTAACTCTGATTTTTATATAAAATTAATTGCATAAAATAGAAGTACCAAAGCACTGATGTAACTAAAAATCAATATATTAAAAGATTATTTAATAATTGAAAAAATTACTTGTTTTTTGTATGTGTTGAAAAAAATAATTGTTATTGTTCTAGTTTATTGTTAGCTAGATAAACATATGAATGGAAACAAAAAGTATATTAGAAATCAGAGAAATCACCATGACCCATAAGTGTACGAGAATTGATGTAAGATAATCACAAAGTCTAATTGTTTACTCAATTTAATCACCTTAAGAGGCATCATCAAGTGGATACCTTTGTGATCAAGTGTCAGTTATTTGACCTCATGGCAAAGCAGCCGCCAAAGCAGCTGCTACTTGTCACTTGCAACACGGATGCTACAACCACAGGTACAAATAATATTAGCGAATCAATTCTGCATAGGACCTACAAGAAAAACCATACACCGCTTTCACAACAAAATACAGAAACCAAGGTCACAATTACTAGCAATTCTACAGTCTGAGACGTAGAAGGAAAAAATTGGAAATAACCCGGCTGGAAGAAGAAAATTTATAAGAGTGTTGATATATAAAGTTGCTAAGTCATCGTAATCATTGTTTTCTGATTGTCATTATATCATATTTGGAGTTCTGCCGAAAAGGCATGCCACTCAAGACAGCTCACTCCAGTATTAATGGTTTACTTGTAGCTTCTGGGTTATCATTTATAATCATAATCCTCATCATACCTCTTGATTTCTTTCCTCCTATCCTACAATTTATCACTTCCTTCATCCTTCATAATACTTGGACGTAAAGCGTAAGATTGAGATAAATAACGGGGATATTGCTTAAACTAAAATACTACGACTCATGTATTGTAACTAATCACTGTACAATAATATGAATACCGAAAGGTTTGATCTTTAGTTTATTCATAGCTATGTCACCTACTACCCTCACCTTAACTATTGCAACATTGTGTGGGGAAACTGTGGCTCAACTGTTTCCAAACAACTACAAACAATCCAAAACAGAACAGCTCGTGTTGTTTGTGGAGCAGCCTGGGACTCAAAGAAGTATCTCATATCGTGGTGCTATTGAATGGAATAAATTAACCCCTGATGTTCAGTCTTCTACCAATTTAACTATTTTCAAAAACCACATCTGTACTAATAATTAATGAAACCAAAGTTAAATACAGTAGTATGAAGATTGTATAAATCCCTATTTTGATGTTTTCTTGCCTTGTTTTATTTATATTTTACATTCCTTTTTGTAATTTTCTGTTTACTTTTGTGGAATGGATTTTCTTCTTTTCATAGTTTATTTTGCCTTTGTTAGGTATAGATTACAGTACTTTTATTTTATTAATTTGTTGACTTTGGCATACAGTACTATTTAATAATTATATTTTGTATCTATTTTATTTAATTTCTGCATTTAACTTTTGCTTTTTATGATGTACCTTTATGTGTAATTTGTTAATTGTAAATAAGGTATCTCACGGCCATAATGAAAAACAGCATGTATTTGTTGATTTGTGCTTCGTGAATAAATAAAGTTTTACTACTACTAGAGGTAATGCTTTGATTGGTTGAACACTTTTGGTACTTGCGCATATAAGCTTGCAAAATATGGATAATTTTTTATTCCTAATGATGACATAATTAATGTTCAAATATTGAATCCCGACACGATGGCGTGCATTTCGATACTTGCAGTATGTATTATACTATCTTATAATATGAATATTCATAATAAATAAATTACAAAGTTTCCAATACAAGGTTTGAAGTTGCCAAAATCTGATACTACACTATACAATGGATATTCATAAGAAGAGTAATAAATTTAGACATACAATATATATTCATTATTATTAATCAATGAAGTTGCCAATACACTCCTTAATGGGATTTGAATATTCATTAAAAATCATGAATTCGCCAAGAGTCAGGATGATATTTTCTAAAAATCCAAACAACTTGAATCATTAGGGTTCAAAACAAAATCTACTCAAGACATTTTATTTCCGCAATCCAAACCACATTCCTAATTAAATTACAACTTTTTACAAGTGTACAATTGGGGACTTGTAATTGAAAATTAATGGATACTAAGTCTGAAATCTGGAGGGGCCTTTGATTTGACATTCATTGCTTTCTAACCATCTGGCCCATCTAAATATTGGACTATTCCATTATTACTAGAGGAATTACAATTTAATGAATATTAATTTAATGATTAAAAAATAGATAATGTTAGTCTTTCAAGAAACCCAACACCATTTACAATTATAATTATAATTAGTTTTAAAATCACCCACAATTAGGCTTACATTATTGCCAAATGAATGTCATTATTAGGTATAAAATCATTCACAAGTTACAATTATTATATCTAGCCTTAAATATTATTTTATATATTTATTATATAGAATAATATTGTTTTCCAACGAAAAATATTATTTGATTTCTAGTTGAAATAATGGCTATCTATGGACACATTTGAAATTTAAAAAAAGTTCATTAGCTAAATACAGTCAATTTCAATGGTGCCCTTTAAACAAATGGACAATTCTAGTTAAACAATTTTGAGTGGGTCATAGTAGTCATCTTTATAAGGTAAGCATCTATGAATCTTAATCAATGCGTTATTAACTGCATCTCAACAGGTTTACAACACTAAGGTAAGTCAGCAATGAATTGAAACTAATGATGTAGGCCCATTGAATTTATCTTTTGTTAAACATAGTTGATAAAATTAAATGTGATATGAATATGATAAAATATTAATCAAATCATTCTTATAGATAGGTAATCTATGATTTATATATACAGTATAATAAAAGTTGTATGTTTCAATACTCCAAGACCTTAACCTGTGGGTTGGGTAACTACAACACAGTTTTAAGTTAGTTACACATGGGTTGATAAACATACGGTGAAACAACCTATCTCTGCTTTCTGTGAGCGTTTGACATGGCTACGTAACATCATCTGTTAATTGTCAGGGCAGATAAATCCACTGTGCCCACTCCCCTCCCCTTTCTGTTGTTGCATTTTATTTATTTTTTTTGTACAGGTTGCAAGTGCATGCTCAGCTATAATTTTCTTGTTTTTCATCTCCACAGGATAACATAATGTCTGTTAACTGGTTAACAAATGCTCTGATTTTACTGGCAATTATTAATGCCACATCTACAGCTCTAAGCACCAGTTACCTACTATCACCTCAATTAGCGATTGAAATTGCTCAAGTAAAAGCAGAGATAAGAAATGATGGTACAATAGGAGTTGATAATGATCCACTAGTTCAACTTAGCACAGTTGAAAAAATGAAAATAATAGAACAGTACCAGGGCTTCTTCAACCCAATGCCTGAAGATGGCAGGCCGAGCACAGCCTCCATTTCACGATTATCGTTCAGCTCTGAAGATGTTGACATACCGCTAATTAATGTACAGACAACAAGTGTGTGCAGTTGCTTATCACGCACAAAGAGGAGTGTAGGAAACGAACTCAGCAATCAAACAAATATATCATATGAAGGGAATAGTGCAAAATGGACGGTGCTAGATATGATGCACTTGAATAAATCTCTTCCCTCTTCCATTCCATCAACAATTCCAGCAATGAAAAATAAAAAATTGGGTAATAAATTGTCTTCAAACATCAGGAAACTGAAACGCCAGAAATGGTTAAAGCAGTGGATGGAAAGGAAATATCTAAATTCCTCACATCTGAAAATATTTGTAAAAGAAAGTTTGAAGAATAAGGCAGCAGACAGTGGTAAAGTGGCAACAAAAAATAGTACCATGGCAACAGAGATTAGTAACATGACAACCGAGAGTGATGACATGGCAATAAAAAGTAGTACCATGGCAACAGAGAATGGTAGCATGGCAACAGATAGTGGTAACATGACAACAAAAGATATATCGATAGAGGATCGTGTCACAGAAACGAAGGGTAATAGCATGCCAGCAGATGCTGACAAAGACCAAAAGCACTCAAATCGAACTGCCAGATCTCCAAGTGTTTTTATAAACGTCTGTCCTGTTATCGAATCTTGGTCTGACCTAAACCTAGCGGTGACAGAAAATAATGAGCTCGTACAGATTATACAGGTATGCAATTATTCCTAGTAACGTTCTACTAAATTCTATCCACACTATTACATTTTCTTTGACAAAAAACTGTTGTATGACCATATATAGTAATGTGCCTATATATGGTCATAACGTGATGTCATCATGACCATATTTAGGCATATAACATGCTTTTGTCAAATAAAATGTGGTAGTCTGGACAAGGATTTAAGTAAAAAAAAAAAAGTTTAATACTTTTAAATAAATGCAACAAAATGTCATTTATAAGCATTCCATTTTTTTAGTTCAATAAGAAAAAGTCATATCTTTTGTAAATTATCCTAATTATGATAAAAAAAATTATGATTATCATTTTTTAAGGGCCCACAAATGTTCCAGAAGCAGTGGTTCCTAGAGGAAAGGTGCAGAAGGAGCGAGTCACCAGTTGTTCCCAACATTTCTTGCATAAGATCCTTCCGGTTGGTGAGGGCAGTAGTGATTTTTCTAGACATTGAAACACCATTGTCAACACAGTTGGTTAAGGTTGAAGGTTGTAAGGCCGTGCTTAAAGTTTAGGTCAACTTATTGCAATTCTACAGGCGCGGTCAATGTGTAAACTCATGAAAAGCCAATTCTAGGTATGGTTAAGTATATTTTATGCTCTTTTAAAATCAGATTGTTGGTTACAGTTAAAATGTATAAGTTAGTCTGAAACTCCACAAAATATGATGTATGCCACCTTGATTCTATATTTGTTCCAATGATTGAAAAACTTCATTTTCAGAAATAACATACACAATCAAAATTAACTAATCAATATTTGGAAGCAAATGCTCTAAACAACAAATCTGACTAAATATTAAGTTTAAACACTAATAGAATAAATACACCACTCCATTTTATGTTTATCAACATACAAAAGCTCTCCATAAAAATTGCAAAAATATTTAATGTTTTGGTTTTGTGTGAGCAGCTGCAAAAAAAAACCAAAAAAAAAAACCTCACATGATTTCATATTGCCAATAATACAGTAGGTCACTGTTTGGGAGATCCTAAACAAACAAAAAAATTCAATATTGTGTTAGGACCCTTTCAACCACGCGTCGATCGTCTAGAATAATACTTGCACAGATCCGGATAATACTGTAGACATAATTTTTTCACAAAATACACAATCATTCGAAGAATTGAAATTTTTTCTTAATGTATTGTTTTTAAGGTGTATACTCTAACATTCTAATTTTCTCGCATCCTTTCTTGGAGGTGATTTTTTTTGCTTACTCTACCTCTAAATGCTTAGATTTCACTACCAAATGCGGGTTTTTTTTTGCAAAGTCGTTGTGATTGCAAGCTTCCTACTTATCAGGTCCAATGCGGCTTGAGAAGGTCCGACAAGCCTGCTCGTATATGACGCTGCGCGTCTTAAACTGAGGTGGTGGAACTTTCCTATCATTCGACACTATTTCTACCCCTCCTGTTATACTCCTACACTTTTGGAGTCCTTAGGAGGTTGGCTTCACCCACCACAACCAGAACCAAAATGTTCATGACTGCTTCGGTCTTGTGCTGATTATAAAAAAGAAAGCTTTAATGTTTTGATTTTTCAAAAAGATTGACCTCACAATGAAGAAAACCTGAATTATGTTTGCTTAAGATTGTATTATACTTGAAGAAATGGCTAATTGATGGATTGGGAGAAGAAAATTGCACATTCTATCAAATATTTGTGGTCCAGGAACCACAGATTGCATAACACTATGCTAGGGTGCGCCTAGCCTATCTTAAATTTGAGCTTTAATACACTCTGGAAATCGTTATTTCTGCTGCTGAAAATGTTCAGCAAACATAGAGACATAATTATTAATGAAGATGCTGTAATTTTAAACTGCTATCTAGCATCCTAGATACTGTATATCCAATGCAAGTGAAATCACATAGGACTAGCATAGGTCTACCTTATAATGTAATATTTTTAGGAATCATTTTCATTTTATATAAATATATTTTTTGTGTTTGTATTTTGCACTTGAAAAACAAAATTCAATATTTGAATGGCTTACTTTGTACATTTAGAAAATTAGTACCCTGTGAAATATGAACCCCAACTTCAGGACCCCCATAGGCTAGAGAACCCATTGTTTTTACGGCTAGATGCCAAACATCAGAAAAAAAAGATTTATCTGAGCATAAAGCTGTATTAAAGCAGTGCCAGAATGTATTACAAGCATTCTGGAATGTTTTGTATTATATAATGCTTTTAATTACAATTAGAAAAAACAGGCTCCCAGCGAGAGTGTGTGTCTACTCTCTTATACTTAAAAAATGCTTACTTCATTATCTGAATCGGTTATCTCATTTCAATGACGCATGTTCACGTTTTGAACACAATTTTGTTTGACTTTTGAACTCTATTCCTTTTTTAATAGTGGATTTACTGGTTTTTAACAAGGTTAACTGCCAGACGACAACATGGTGTCTACTACACACCCGACAAAAATGCTAAGTTCTTTAGCTAAACTTACTGCATGTTGCCCTTGCTAATTGACTCCACTCATTGAAAAATTCAGTTTGGCAACTGGCGACCTACTGGAGTTGTGCAATATGCGGCAACTAGTTGAGGTGGAACTTTACCTTGATTTTATTATCATTATTATTGTTAATATTATGTTACTAAAACCTACCTTAATGGGAACTTTGAAAATGGAGAGAGTAGAGAACGATAAGGACACAACGTTAGGAGGAAAATAACACAAAAGATATTCCCCTTAAGTCTGGGTTAGTGCTATTTATTGTTGTTATATTATTATTATTATATTATTTGTATTATTATTGTATTATTATTATGATTCATGTCAGTTAAATTATACTTGGAATATAATAGATTTTCAAAATGTGTATTGAACGATAATCTTTTTATATGCCATAAACAACACTTTTTTAATAAAATTAAACTAATGAAAATCGATATTTTCAGTTTCACTCATTTACTGTGTACTGTTACATGTGTAAATAAACAACTTCACTACTAATACTATATCTATTCAGCAGCGAATAATACCATAAATCAGTGATTAGAAACCCAATGGGCTTACTCTCAAGAAGAAGCCCATCTCAAGCCCAGGGCTTCTATTCAAGGTTTTACGGTAAGGGGGGGGCGCTATAGCCCCCAGCCCCCTCTGGCGCCACTACTGAACCTAGGTGCATAAATATATGCTGTGGCTAGAGGTCCGGTATCAGATTCGTTGTCGTTATAGTCTAAAGATCCAGTACCAGATCTGTTTCTCTCTCTAGTTGCAAATGCTGTACACACATCACTCATGTTTAAAGTGACTGAGCGAGCAATATTTACGTAGGAAGGATAGGCCTATTATGTGCAGAAGCTACAAACTTCAGAAGCTTGTAATAACTTACTTCTGTTAAATTCTTGAGCATACTGAATTTAAAAAGAGAAAGCCCAAAATTAATATATATGAATTAACTATTATTTCATATTTCTTTCAGGACAAACGGATGACATTGGATCTGAATAAATTATTTACAATTTTCATTAACTGTGAATGAACGTGACTATTAACACTGACCTACACTTTTTATTAGTAGTGGTTTTGTAGATGTTTTAAAACTTATCATTATGTAGTTGTTGACGGCCCATTTTTGTTTCAGTTGAATTTAAATATTAATTACTTTATAATAATGAATACAATACTTTAATTAAAATATATAGAGTACAAAGTGTTGTTCGTAGCATTTGACACTATAATCACATCAGTCATGTTTAAACTGTCAATGAGTACACAAGACGGCACACATTTCTTTACTGTTTTAATTATTTTGATGATTCCCTTATTAATAACATACGAAAAAAAGTATGGTTTGTTGTAAAATAAAATCAATAAATTCAGACTTCAAAAACGAGCATTCTCCTGGCCTACACAAACCTCAAAATAACACTAGGCATAGGGGCATGCTCTAGGCTAGGCTAGGTAGGCCTAAATGCAAATGCATGTAGGATAGGATCCCCGAGGTGGTGGGACTTGAACTAAATCCTTTCCGAGCCACTAGGGCTCATAGGGCTGGAGCTTATGCCCAGTTTCTGTAGTGTTAAGCGGATGAGAGTTGTACTCCCCCTGGACGGTAGTCCATCGCAAGTTACTCCCCAGCAGTTTGCTGGTAGCCATTGATACAGCTGGGTGGACTGAAGCAATGTAGCTAAAGTGCCTTGCCCAAGGAAATTGCACAGCGGAGACTCGAAACCCCGACCTTACAATTGAAATCCCGAACCTGAACCGCTGTGCCGAACTGCTGCTACAGGTGGAACTTGAAAGGGGAGTCTAATTCATTCTACATTTTTCAATGCCAGACATCAATTCATCATAATAATATGATGAAAAACATATGCACTGTGCAATCGCTACCAAAGTCGCTACACAGGCATCATCTCTGGAAAGGTTGGGAGTTGGGAAACAGGGCAGGTCATATAGATGCGCTTCACTTACTGGTCAAAATCCGTTGCCGGATCTTTACACCAAAACGACAATGAATCCAGTACCGGACCTCTATGCACATATAACAAAAACATACAGAAAATATGTTTACAATAAGTACAATTCAAAAGTAACTAAAAGGTACATTAAAAACACTAGAACTAAAATGAAAGAAGAAAAATGAAAACTCGAAAAGGAAACTAAACTAAAGGAAAGGTATTACTGAATACAGATAAAGGCATCTTTTTTTAACTTAATAGAAAGAAAATCAAAATTATTAAGAATGTTTCTGGTATGAAAATTACCTGCACACTCACCACAATTTGAATGAGGAAAAACTAAAGTATTTGATATTTGATTCCTAGTAGGTTAAGAATGAACAAAGTGGGTGAAAATGAATTTAGAAGATATATTTAATGGCATTACCATTTAAACAATTAAACACTCCAAGTAGAGTACTTGTCCGATAAAGGGAGGTGGTGGAAATGCCCCCAATTCTTTTTAAACATGAGGTTTTTTCAGTCAAATATCTAACATGGTGATTAAAGGGAAATGTCAGTACACTGCCCTTTGTTCTTACATATTTATTTATTTTTTTATAATTTAATTTTATTTTTATTTTTTAAAATTTTATCATATTTCAATTCCACATCAACAGCGAGTACAAACTTGCCAATTACAGGATGGATACACATATGCCAAAAACATGAGTATTTAATATTAAATCTAGTTTGCATGATATACTGTAGCCATCTGACAGAAGCAAAGAACTTTTTCTGTTCCTCTGATGGTGGAAACAATGAGCTCTTTAACGTCACTTGTATGCTAGGAGTGTTATACATGCAAACATACAGCAAACAAGCTAATAAACACACTTAAAGACTAATTTGAAACTTACCAAGCCATTAACGAAATGGTCTGAAGCAGAAACATAAGTTTAAGTAGAATATTAGAATATGTTAGTTATTAAAATTTATTTGCTGATTTTCACTTTCAATTGACTATAATTACTTGAAACAGAACTTTCATAATGTTTGTGTTTTAATTAATTTTTTGTCTTTGTGTTTTACTTAGAGGTCGTTCACAACTATCACCATTTCCACAAGTGTACAAACTGTACTATTTTTCGGTACACCCTCCCTCCCCTCAAAAAGTATACAAAAAAAATTTTGATTTTGTAAAACATTTTTCCATCTTGTTTTGTGAAGTCAACTAAAGCAATGTAATTGGTTACTTAAAAATGAATATTATATTCATGGTACATTATAATTTTACCATTATTTTACTTATTGCATGTTATTTTGAATTAACTTTTTTATACATAGGTAAAAGTGTACAAATTTGTCTACCCCTCGCCCCTAGCACTTGTTAAAATACTGATAATGTTGAACGACCCCTTAGCTACATGTAATTAGTGACATTTATTTTTTTTTCCCTGTAATTGGTTCTTTTTTGTAAAGTGCATAAATTATATTTTGCATTACATGCTATGTAACTTTATATATTAAACAATATTATATTTTGAGCTACTAAACTGCTACATTTTAAGGGTAGACAAAAAATTAATTCACAAACATTAACTATGCCACTCACCTTACTCTGTTGGAACTTAGGAGAAATTGCGGACTCAGTCTTTGATGTTGGTATGCCACTCCGGAAACCCAGAAATGTTGCTTGTCCTGACTCAGTAGATGTGGAATGTTCTTCAGATGCCATCTGTGGTAATTCACGACTGTCACCAGAAAATATTTGTTGTTCATCAATAGTAGATTTTTGTTGCATGGAATTTTGAGACTGATGTCTGTTAAGCAGTAAGAGTGTTTCTGTTATTTCTGACAATGCAGCATTGTCAGTATGTCTGTCTGCAAAAGTCATTTCATCAAACATCTTTACATTCACAGCCTGATCTTCATTCATTGCTTTCCTTGATTCCACAGGATTCTGAAACAAGGCTTTGTTAACCATACCAAAATTGGCAGCAATCTTGCTTACTGGTTTATTCCTTACAGGACTCTTTTCTGCTGCAGATTCTGTTCTTTTTTGGCTGGATAATATATCTTTTTGAGAGTCTGACAATGATTTACTTATGATGCTGGCCCCTTGAAAAGGGTTCTCAACAATTGTACTGATTGTAAATTGCACATCAGTTCTGTCAAAAGACTTTAATGGGGATTTTAGAGAAGGCAATGGTGTGACCCATGAGCTCAGTTTAGGTATCGATTCCCAACTAATGCTCTTAATAGTTTCATCAGATTGTTCAAGAACCTGGGATATATTTTGGTGCTCTTGGATTGATATATCAGGATCAAGTTCTACCTTCATTAAAAGACCATCTCCACAACTGTGCAGTTCACTGGGATTTTCTTCATATTGATAGGTTCCAGCATTAACATCAGTTTCTGAAGGAGAGTCTCCTATGATTAAAGTGTGCACCGTCTCCTCTTCCAGGTCCACATTAGGTACTTTCCCAATAATTTCACGTTCTTTCATATTGACATCACCACAGAGAGATGAAGAACCAGTTTCCTCTTTTAAAGTCACAATACTGGATTTTCTAAGAGAGCTAGTATCTTCTTCAGTATACAGACTACATTGACTGCCTGACAAAATATTAATATTACCATGACTCAATTGGTCTGATTCAGCAGGTTGACTGTCAGCTACCAACACAATATTGCATCCATCTGTCATTCCTGAGCTTACATCTTCAGCAGAATTACCTTTCTTTTCATTTCCATCACATACATCTTTGCTGGACTCTTTACTTGTAGTTTCCAAGTTCTTTCCAATGGTGCCAGAAGTGTCATCATATTTTGGACATCCTTTCTGAGAATCTCCATCATGGCTTGGGTCGTCATCCTCATCCTTCTCTTTTACAGTTCCTTCTGTTTTGGTTCTAGTCATCAATTGAAAGGTAACAATGTTTGAGTCCATTGAGTCTCCCAGTGTTGATGTTGTTTTTACACTGAACCTGCAAAAAGAGAAAAATAATAGTAATATAAGTAATAAATTAATGTAATATATCACTAGTAATTATTTAAGAGCATAGCAGTCTGAAAATAAATCATTTTAAGGTATGCATGGAAAAGTAAAAATTCAATAAATAAATGTTTGCAGTACACCACCGGTTCACAACTAAATAGAACTACAGCTGTGTCGTTAAGAATATCTTGCCATTTCAAATAGAATGCTTTAATCACCTTCAAAAGATAATTAAGAGGCTTGATCGTTCTTTTGATTTCTTTGGTGTGAAATATACCAAAGATGCACAAAAAAGACTAATTTCCAGTGAGGATCTGGTGGTAATTTGATAGTCAAGGCTTACAACAGGCCCTTCTTGCACTGCATACACTCAACAAATTTAATCCGTCTAAATTTTGTGATTTCCAAACCAAGGGATACCCTGTAATATACACAACTATATTGTTGAGTCGGATGGGGGGTGGACAAAACAGAAATATGTTTTGGTCTTATTTGGTTGTTTATTTTTTTTCCTGTAATTATTAGTACTATGGGCACACTAATCTATAGATCTAGAATAATGGTTTGTTGGACAAAACAGAAATATGTTTTGGTATTATTTGGTTGTTTATTTTTTTTTCTGTAAAATTTTATTAGTACTATGGGCACACTAATCAATAGATCTAGAATAATGGTTTGTTAAGCTGTTATAGTGCATTCATTACCAGGGTCTTTAACTGTATTAACCCCACTGTCCAAACTATTTCTGAAATGGGACAATTTGGCTCTTATTCTCTCATGGGGAGTAATTTCAGGTTTCTTCACACATACTATGGGCACATTAATCTATATATCTAGAATAATGGTTTTTTAAGCTGTTATATTGCATTTATTACCAGAGTTAATTTCATTTCAAAAATGGGACAATTTGGCTAATTCTCTCATGGGAAGTGATTTCATGTTTTTTCACACACTGATGTCTACAATTACTGAAACCTGAAACGTTATTTGTGATTAGACTTGTCGATTAGATTAAGGGGCCTGTCACCATTACGGCAAACACGTATGGGGGGAGGGAAGGTCTTTCGAATTTGTTACAATTGATGAGACACTTAGGTACCAGTATCCATAAAAATATAAGCTCAAAAGGCACAGAAATAGTCCATGTATAACAATGTCACGCCTACCGATAACAACCAGATGTAAGACCACCTAGAAGGGCACGAGTCTGTGTCGTTGACATCTCCTGTATCAGATCCTCATTTAGCGTAATGCACAGCTTATAACCTTGCACACAATTCTGCTGCGATTCAGGAATTGAGGGCGCTGTCCATGTCAGTTGTAGACTTGTGTTGGATAACTGCTTTACACAAAGATTACTAGGAGCTGGAGGTCTTGTAACAATATGCTTAAATAGAATTACAAGTTTTGCATTTATATATCATTATAATTTTTGTATTATTTGCTTTTCCCACAACATTTTCTATTCTGTTTACCTATATTTTTTACATAGGGTCATCATGCTTGGCATGATCTTTGCATCACCTTGTGCATGACCTTATGCAGTGCCAGTGCTTTTAACAGGTCAAACTCCCGTCGACTTACCTCCTGGAACCCCCAACGGTGTTTTACACTTACCGCTGTGCTCTGCTGGAAGTTGTCAGACCGCTGATAAGTCCAGTCCGAAAAATGTGACGTGACTAAATATGGTCATCACATCTTGACTGTATATAGGCACATCATGACTATATATGGGCATACAACAGTTTTATGTCAAAGAAAATTGATAGTGTAAAATACACCACATTGATGCATGATAAGAATGTTAAATGCAGAGAGCATTTCCTGGTGTTTCTCTATAATGATATTTCAACTTATTTAATTAGATTATTAAAGAACTGACAACAAAATCATGAAATACTTACCATGTCTTGAATACTATCTGTAGTGTGTCCACCATTAACATCATCTTTGTTTTCTGGTAGCAAATTTGATTTCACTGGTGTTTGCTTTTCGCATTTTTCAGAAGCAATGTGACCATTATTTTCCTCCATTTCAGCATCATCCACCACTCTGCTATCTGTTGAACCCACAATCTCTGACACTTGAATGGTAGGGGAACTCTTTGATTCTGAATAAACATTATCTTGTGGGAGATTTATATCAGAATTTAGGTTCTCTCCACTTGATGGCTTTGAGATCTCTTTATCTCTTTTAACCTCTGTCTGACTAACCTGCATACTTGATTCTACTTTTACATCTGTTGCTCTTGTCTGAGGTGGATTGGCTTCAGGAACATTGTCATCTTGCAGCTCTCCTGCTTTCCTGGGATCCTTATCAACAACAGCTACCTTGGTATTTACAGGTACCTTGGTACCATCAGCTACCTTGGTACCATCAGCTACCTTGGTGTCAACTGGTATCTTGTTGTCAACAGGCAACTTGGTGCCATCAGATACCTCGGTGCCTGATCTTTCTTTACCACTCTCATTATTTTTTGGTTTTGATTTAACCACTTTGTTTGAGACTTTTGTTTGTCCAACCTTCTTATTACGTGGTTCTTTATCCTCAGATTTTTTTGTTTTCTTAGGTGATTTATGTTTGCTCTTCGACACCTTCTCTTTCCCAACAGATCCAGAAGCATCATGCAAATCTAGGTTTGTCTTTGGTACATTAGGGTTTTCTACAAGTTTCAACATTCTTGTGACACTCTGTAGAGTATCCTGCATCTGTTCAACCTTAATGTAAAAAACATAAATTAAAGATAATCATCCAATTTTGTGGACAGACAAGAGAAAGCTGGTACCAGTTTACCGGGCAGCTCAGACGCAAAAAGACACCCTTAGATGAGAAGAAAGTTACTGTGCGAGCTAGTCCACACCTTAAGCGCTTTGAGACTTTGGAATAATGCGCAATATAAATCCAAACACATTATAATTTCAAACAGCATTTTCCCTACAGTGTCTTGGTTGGCAAACATTGCCCCCTAGGGCCCAAAGAGAATTGCCTCAAGTATCCCACAAGCCTCATAATTCCCACCCCGCACTTTCTTGAAATTTTTCACTTGAATCTTCTGTATTCGTTTTGTGTTTTGCTTCACTGTTTTTGTTTTTCTTTAGATCTAGATACGACCCGATAATGACCATTAAAATCTTCTTCAGGACTTGGTTTGTGACCCATGGGTTTCTGGTTGGGGCTACAGAAGTATAAAGAAGCAGCAATAAGTAACTAGTAATTGTTAAAGGTCATACCTGATTTTCAAGGTCATTAATCTTTTGATTGAAATCCTGATAAGCTGATAATTGACTGATGTCTTTGGTGGTTAGTTTGTCGCCAACAGTCTTATCAATTTCATTCTCCTTTTCATTAATGGCAACGACTTTTAGCTCTGCTGACCTCTTCCACTCGGTGAGTGAATCCATCTGTACAGTGTTAAATTATGTCATAAAAAAATTGTTGCATAGTGAAATTTGTAAATCAGGGCCAGCCAGACAGGATTTTCCTTTTCTTTTTTACCACAGGCCTTGTCCTAATTCTAGGGCTCATTGTCAAACATCATTCAAAATCATCCAATGATTTTGATTAGTGAAATGCTAACCACACGACTAAAATCCATGGGTAAGTTTATTTTTGTTTAAAGTGGCTTTTATCATACAAAAACAGTATTTATAAAATATTTCTGCCAAAAATGCAGACTAGATTTTCAAATTTTTTTATTAAGTTTGGCTTATGCAAAACTTCTTTGGCCATACACAATTATTACTACTGTTAACTTACCACTCAACAGAAAGAGTAAAATTTATTAAGGAAAGTTTATTCACCTAATTATTAAATGAAATTGATATTGTTATAATTTAATTTCTATCTGCCTGTCATCACAATCTCATTGTTTTGGTTTTTTTTTCGGTAACTTTTTTTTTTCATTTGCCGTACTGTATTCCAGTTTTGTTTTGTTTTTTGTAAACAATGAAGGAAATGAATAAAAAAAACATAACCACTTAGCCCTTAGTGGGTAATTATCAATATTTTTTTAAAGATTGACCGTACATTCTTACTAAATTCTAGAATGATGTTCCTATTACATTCAGTTTCTCTCCCTCGCAAAAACTCTGATCACCTTTTCCCAAACCTTTTAATTTCTTACTTTCTACTTTCTGTACTTTCCAGTATAGGAGCGCATGGGGACACTTGTTTCTGAAGGTGTGCAGCATCCACGCCCCCCCATAAATACGCGACTGGACATGCTCTAGAATTTCATAGGTCACCACCATAAACTAGGGCGACTAAAGTAAGTAGTATTAGTACCTTTGATTAATAATTTGTCTAGCATAATTCAGACTAAGAAATCAGTAGGGATTTTTTAAAATACTGATTTAATTTCACATCTATTAAGCTTTCATTTATTTAATAATCATTTATAGGCAAATGGTCAAACTGCACTGTATCCTACATCTATCTGTTTACCTTTACCATTTGAAAAAAAAATTAAAAAAATTACTAAGATTAATCATCCAAATTCAAAAGAATACTTTTATTCTACAGAAAAAAGGCACTTAAATAAATAATAGCAATAAATAACTAGTAATTGTATACCTGATTTTCAAGGTCATTAATCTTTTGATTGAAATCCTGATAAGCTGTTAATTGACTGATATCATTGGTGGTTGGTTTGTCGCCAACGGTTTTATCAACTTCATTCTCCTTTTCCTCAATGGCACCAAGTTTTAGCTCTGCTGTCCTCTTCCATTCAGTAAGTAACTCCATCTGTTAAGTGTTTAATTATCATCATTTTTACTATACCATCACCACATTATTATTAATATCATCACCATCACCTACTTATAGTCTTATCATAATTTCATTGTTGGGTTATTTTTATGATTTTTACAGGGTTGGGTTGTATAGCCGTATGGTTAGAATTATCCACATTACCACAGGCCTACCAAGTCTCATGCATTCACCGTGAGACTCAAGCATTTATCTGTCTCACACTCTCATGCTTAAGGACCAAAATCTCATGTATAAATGGAATGCCTATTATAAAATATATGTATACTGTTTATGATCTTTGTAGCCCTCTTATTACTATAAATTCTCCAACAACATGTATACTAATTAAAGAAAAAAATTTCCTATGTAATTTTTTTTATTCCGAAATTCAAAAATCAATTCCCATTATTTCAATGAGGAAAAGGCCTATGTTCTGTTTTACATAGTACATCCAGCTATTATTATCACAATTACTGAAGTTGCTGCTGCTGTTGTTGCCAGATGCACACTTAATAATTAATAATCAAATTATGAATTGTTGTAAAAAATATAATTTTTTAGATGAAATGAGCAAAGAAACTGGCATTTAATGTCCAGCTCTCTCAGAGCATCATAAAGAGATCTGTACAATGGAGTATCAAGTATTCCATAATAACCTACATAAGATATAATTTAAATAAATAGATATAATCAGTTCTGCTGTCGTAAAAACAAAGAAAGATTACCTGAGCACAAAGTACTTGTAACAAGCTCATATGCATCATCCTCAACTGTCTTTCTTTTTCATTCTCCTTCTGAAGTCTATAACAAAATATATAACAAAATATTTTGCATATCAATAAATAACATTAGTATAGCACACCAATCCATTTCAGGATCAAAATATTTTGTCATATTGTGACTATTTGATTTCATAGAGACAGTTGTATTATGCGCTCTATAAATCCATTGATTGATTGATAAACGGTTTTTCATAAAATATAAATTAAATTAATTCAAGCAATATTTTAACCAATAATGAAAATCAAATTGAAGACATAGGTAAACCTTAATTTTTAATTTTTGAAGAGAATGCTAGTATATGAGAGCGAAACAAACTTAAAGGAATATAAGGAAAAAAGAACATTGTTCACACTTCCGGATAACTTTAATTGTCAAGCTGACAGGCAAGTCAGATTATTTTATTTTAAAAATACAAAAAAACTCAATGCATACCACAATGACCCTTGACATTGTAAATCATCAAAAAATACACCACAGACATTACCTCTTCAATTCACATGTTAGGTAATCAACATGCTCCAGCAATCGTCTTTGGCATATTTCTTTATTTTTCTGACGCTGATCATCTCCGCTGCGTTGCCGGTACCCTTTCCAGACAGCCTGAATCTGAGTAGCAGCATCAATTTCTGTGGATGTGACAGATGCCGGCAGTTTTGTACTCATCTGATTGTTATTCGTCTTTAAGTTGTTGTTTTCAGTAACACATTCGCCATTCATCTCTTCACTTAACCTAGAATCGGGTTGGGAATCAGTCCACTTCGTATTATTTGTTATCCGTCGATTCAGGGCTACTTCTCGAATTTTCTTCAACTCAGCCGGGCAAACCACCTCCTCTTTATCTTTGTCATTTTTATATTGCTTCTTATTACTTTTTTTATAATTTGATTTCTTAGGCTCCGAATCACCAGCTATTTTTGGGCTAATTTTAGGGTTGAAAGTTGTCTGTGGTTTTGCTTTTTTAATTGCTGCATTTTGTTCTGGAGGAATGAGGCGCCTGTTCTCATATGCCTCATAACTAGTTGGTTCGTGGTTATGAATTGGTGTGTTGAACAAATAAAATTGACTTCCATTTTGAAAATCGGGAGGTGTGCCATCAAAAGTGTCCATAGGAATGCCTTTTGAACCAAGTACAGTCGCAGGACGATGGTGGCAGTTTACAGACTCACGTTCTGATAAGTCTGTATGATGCGGTGGAGCTGTGGAGGGCCTAACCTCCACCATCTGCATTGTAGTTGGTAGCTCAGATGAAAACGGTAGGTATGTAGAATTTGATGTAAGGAGACTATTTGTCTTTGTTGAGGCTATGCATAAAAAATATTAATAGAAGACATTAGTGTTCTTTATAAATCTCTGTCTCATCCAATAAGAGTTAAACTCACAAATTACAGGATGTTCTATAAATTAAAGCCCAGTTTCCATAAAATTGCTACACGATTTTGGTAGGGACTTAATTGAAAATCTTAAAATTGGTGATACTGATAACTATTACCAGGTCTAGAAAACAAAAGACCTCTAGACAAAAATTGCTTCTGCTAGGTCCTAGACTTTATTAGTAAATGATTTTCAACCTAATGTAGTGTATTTTACTGGTTGTAATTTGAATTTTTTAATGCTTTGCTATTTTAAATGTTTTTATATGTAATTTTTCTCGATCTTGTGGAAGAATGATTATTTTAATCGAACAAGTTTATTTGTGCTTTTTGTGCTTTTATTTTCGAGATGAAATAAAGTTTTATATATATAACACTAATATGGTTGTTTGTACACTTGGTGTGCGCTGAACACTAACCTTCTAAGTCTTCTAGAACAATATTCAAGGGAGGCTCTTGGTTTCTGTCTGATACAACCCACTGAAAAATTTTCTGAGGTCGTTCTCTGGACCACACAGTCATGGGTGCAGTTGGTGGGCTTGTTACACGAGGTGGTGAGGGGGAACGGTGTGCCTTTTTCCCCTTTTGAGGGGATCTTGAGCGGGATTTTGATGCAGACTTTGCTGAATACTGTGAAGGTGTAGGCGATGATAAAAGTGACTCTTCCAATAACTGTTTCTTATACAGTTGCTGTTTGCTGAGAACCTTGATTAATTTCTCGTCTTCTTTCAACTGTAGCTATAAAAAGAAATTTAAATATTCTTAATATGACATATACATATATACAGATGTGTATAAGAGACAGACAATGACCCTCGTTGACGAAGGCCACAGGAGTGGCAGAAATATCCGAGTTGTTAATAAATCAGTGTTCTTAAAGTCTACTATTGAAGTTGTTTCATTTTTTTTCTATACACAACTTTATATCGCAAATTCAATACATATAAAACAGAACAATAAAATTACAGTATTCAAATTTAAAAAATACTAATTTAAAATGTCAAACCAGCTAACGTACAATTTAGAATTAAAAAGCAATTTATCATTCACAGTCAGATTTACAGTAATAAGCAACATAAAACTATAAATAGATTTACGCATAAATTCACAAAACTAATAATACCAAAATTAACAAACATATCAGACGCACTACAGAATTAAATTCTGTAATTCTTACTCAATTTCAATAACATACACAAAGCATTATTATAACACACTCTAAGAGAATTAAAGTTACATTTGGTGTAATTAAACCAAAGAGTACTAAACAGTAGAAACCGAAATGTCCACTGATTAATCTCAGATAAGAAAGTATAATATACGCCATCATGTGGGATTCAATACTTCGACATTAATTATGCCATCAGAAAATGTAGAAATGGCATAAAACATTAGATCTGATACACAAAGATTATGTAATGGGAGCAATAAATAATAAACAAACAAAACAAATAAAACAAATAATTACTTGGTACTAAAAATCACCTGCACATTTTACATAATTTAAAAATTAAATTATTGATATAAAATATAAATACAGTATATACAGTATTAAGCCATTGCCAATAATTCACAAAAAGAAGATAAGATCAATACATATTAAAAACATACAACTGACAATGAAAATAAAATGGAAAACTGTAGAAATAAATGTTTAAAAGAGTGTAAAATAGAGTGGGTACCTCAGAAGCTGTAGTTAATGGACAGACTCGACTTAGATACTCAGTGAGCTCCCTATGCTGACCGGGTTGAAATGAATGGCCTTTCCCCTGACTGTATAGCCATTCAGCCTTTAAACTATAAAGAAAGATGTTTGTCAAAAAGAAACAATTAACAATAATGACCCAAAATCTATTTAATAAACAAAGGAAATTCATCCGGAAAAGGAAATTAATCCAAAAAAAATCTCCATATGATCCAAAATCTAATAAACTAATCTGGTTAATCTCCACATAAATCAAAAATCAAAACAGTAAACAATGATAATCCAATTAACAGACCTAAATTCCAATAAATCTGTTTAAACCAGTTTATCAAACTGACTGTTTTCTTTCTGCTGATACTTTAGAGACATTACTATATGAATAAAAGTGACTTACCTTTCTCTCTGAATGATGACAGCGCCATCTAAGACTTGTAGAGTTGTGCACCAGTTCACAACATAAGGCCTGTAGTCAAAGCCTCTGATTCACAGATTAAGGAGTTACAGTTTGTAGGTATGGTAAATGACATCAGCAATGTTTAACTAGCATTAAGGGAGATGACGTAATCCATTGCATGTCAGACTAACACACATTAATGTTATTTACAACAGTTTATCTGAGGTGCTTCGCCTAACTGCAAAGCATAAATATTAATTTATTAGTTGTGCAAACAGGAGGACTGTTGCTACTAAGTAGTATAAAAAAAAGGAACAGGGGAAAAGAAAATACTGATTTATCTATTTATTTTTCTTTGAGAAGGACTTTCAATAACTATGTACTAGTTTCCAAAGTAGTTTAGCTATAAAACTTAAGTAAAAAAATCTTGCCTGTTGGGTATGATTCATTTTTACAATTACAGACACCAAAACTCATATATTTTGAAATGCTGAATAGTTGTGAATGGTAACTAAAACCTGTCTAAACAATTACTGTAATTCAGAGAGTAAAACATTTTTTGTAACAGTGTCTTTGCATTAAGAATGAGCCATAGATTCATCAGAATACATTTGAATCAGTTTTTATTTACAATCATAGACTAATATAAAACATGCTCATTTCAAGAGTTTGTAAAGCAAGTCAATGACTGGTAAATATTCTTCATGTAGAGAACTGTGAAATGAATGTTAAATATACAAATAATATAAAAAGTGTTAAGAGTGTAGGCCAGTGATTTTCCATCTGTTTCATTCACTTTATTTAAAATTGAACAAATCAAAGTTATCTGCGTAAATTTAGGAGCATTCAGTTATTACTTTCAAAGCAAGTATAAGATTTTTACAATTGCCAAATTGGATTGAAAGATGACGGCTATGTATGAGGAGAGTTGGATGGCCAAGCTGTTAAGGCAGGGGCACTGCAATGTACAGTTATAATATCGGCTCTGATTCGAAACGGCACACTCGCCTATGGTTCTAGTGGTGGAGGACTATAAACCGTGGCCCTAGTGTACATACTGTAATTTAATTGGCTCATGCGCACTTTAAAGAACCCAGTAAATCTTTTGTGATATGTTGGGTTTACCCTGGTGCACTGGTCATTTCAGGCCCTGCTGTGCACAGACGAGAGTAGCTCAGACACGAAGAGACCCCTGGCAGAAGCAAGTTACTGTAAAAGCCAGTCCACACCTCGCTTTGAGACAATTTTGGTGTAAAGCACTATATAAATCTACATTACATTACATTTACGTAGTACCAATTTAGTTCACTAGGTGACAATAACATGAAAACTTGAAAGACTTTAATAAATTTGATAATTATATAACATTTAAATTATCTGTGTTGATAAAGTTGCGGTTATAAAGTTTGTTTACTCTTAATTAAAAATATGAATTTGACAATGTAATTGATACTATGATGAAAGAGTGAAGATAATAATAATTTTAATAATGATAAATAATAAAAATTAAATAATAATAAAACTAAAACTAATATTTACTTTAAATTACCGGCTAGCCATCACCAGAACCTCATGACCTACTGGATTAATATCAGCTTAATAATTCTGGAAATAATGTTGGTTCAAATTTCCCATTAGCATTAATTCCATTTGTTTTGCAATGGATTGCAGTCAAATGTAAATATAGTGAACACATATCAGGGTTGGGCACAACATAATTTGATATCGATAATGTGCATATTAAAGACATTGATGACGCCAATTAAAGGTTATTAATACTCAAAGGATACACAGAGGCCGTCATTAGAACAGCAGGGTTATTTTTAATGGAGAGTTGCTCTAATCCATTCAAACAGCAAAGATATGACATCTAGAAAATGAATTAATTTAACCATAATGATAATATTATTCAATCATTCTTTATTGACATTCATATATGGAATATACAAAAGAAAACATTTACAAAAACCAGGATGCAGCCTAAATTAATAGGCTTATGCAGGCAAAATGTCAATTCAAATATCAAAACAAGGAACAGACACAAAAACAGAAACATAAAGGTACAACATTAAAATTCAATATATAAAAATGATCAGTCAAAATTAGTATATACTAATATAATAAATATATTACTGTTCTAAATGATGTTAAAACAATCCTTAAAGCAATTTTTACAGTAGATAACATTTTCAATACATAACATCTTCAAAATTATCTATGTCTTCTTCAGCAACACTTCATTTTCAATATCAGCAATGACTTTTTCAACACCACTGCCAGCCATTAAGGAAAACTTTAATGTCCTCTCTAGCACAACTGCCACTTCGGACATGGTTCAATGTTTTATTAAGTACAACCACAACCAACATTATCAATCTGTTCTCTATCACAAATGCCATATTGAAATATCATTAAATATCTTCTCTAGCACAAGTGCCATTTTTAACATCATTCAAAATGTCTTTAGCAAAACCACTTTATTAACATCAGTCTCATTTACAATTTGAAACATCATTCAATGTCTTCTGTATTACAACTGGCATTTTAACATTTTCAATGCCTTTTCTAGCACAACTACTTTTTCAATATGACCAATGTCTTTTGTAGCACCACTAAAATGGTGAACAAATTTTCAACGTTTTTACATGAAACAACTTTTAAATAAATTCAACATTCTATTCTAAAGCTCTGTCCATAAAAACTGTTGTATGTCCATATTTAGAAATGATTTGCCTATATATGGTCATGATGTGATGTCATCATAACCTTATTTAGGCATGTCATGTTTTTGTCGAATAAAATTTGATAGTCTATGCAGGGTTTAACAAAAAAGCAAGCAAACATAATACATGCCTCTGTTAAGTCACTAATTTCATTTTCTGCAAGAGATAGTGTTGTCACTGAAGTTGGTACATAAGCAGGTACTCCACGCAAAGTTGTCAGGATATTTCCATGGAGAAGTAGAGTCTGTCAATTAAAAATATATAAATTAATTGTCAATTTTCTTTATTTGTTTATGTCTCTTTTTAAATTTCATCAAACAAGACAATTATTTGACAAAATTATCCTTTTACTTAGTTTTACCATTTTTTTTTAAAGGATGAAAACAACTCCAAGAAAGTATTGGAACAATATTGTCTTAATTAAAGTTCCATTTAAAGTTATCTATTATTTATCCATGGAAATATATAACTACTATATACCAAAGCATCTGTAAACTATCAAAGTAAACTTTTGTTGTAAATGCAATGAGCATTTATTTTATTTCAAACTAAACAGCTTCAAATCAAATAATAATGACTCTCTGTATCTTCATCATTGAGAATTGTTTTGATTTATGGTCTTATGTATTATCATTCAATCAAGCCAATCTTCGTCAGACGGCAGTAGTAAATACGTCATTAATCAATCATATGGAATCAGCACTGCTTTACAGTAAGTCTAATACTACTGATAGACACGTAAGCTTCATTCTTATTGTGTGTAATTGACCTCTTTATAGAATCAAGCCACGTTGGCTGCACGTGTTTCTTGCTTTGTACAAATTCCATGTATGAACCTACCATCAATTACAATATTCTGTAATTTATTAAAATAATCGATGTACAGATTAAAACAGTTACAGTAATTTAAACTGGATTGCAAACCGAGTTGGATAAAGTAAGGGCAAAGTATTACAGAAAAAACATTTCACCAACAAAAATTTTACTTGCCACTCCAAAGGAAAGCTGAAGGGTATCCAAAAGCATGTATGTGTCCTTCTGGGCATATAACTCAAAAACTACTGGACGGATTTACTTCAAATTTTCACGCCTCAACAATATTACCTGTATCTCAGGAAATTTGGTGATGATTGGATGCAAGATGCAGATTGTAGAAAGTTAATTATATATTTTCCAGCCACAACAAACAGAGCTAATTTGAGCGGAATGTTCAACCAAGTCGTTCAGCTAGGCCAAGCCAACAGAGTAGGATGTGTCAAATTCTGGACGATGTACTGGAAGCGGCCTATGATGCTAGACCTTGTTGGCGGATCTAGAAAACTGACCGTGGGCCATTATTTTGTCAGTGCATAAATATGCCGCAACAGGACAGGATTTTGCAATCTCAGATTAATCTTGTTTAGTTTTTGTAAAACGTGGGTTAAAAAGTGGTAAAACTTTATTGCGAAGGTTACCATTCTGCAATATATTGTTGGATATACTTTTGGAAGTGCTGCCACAGACTTATTTTTTTTAAGATCGTAAGAGGAGTGTGAAAAAAAATAAAAATTTGTTTTCTTATTTAGCAAATTGGTTTTCCTAAAACATCCAGACGGAGGAGAAAATAAAAATAAAAACAAAGAAAATTTTTTTTTTGATTTCCATTTTTTCGTGGTTGCAGGTGCGCTAATTGGCCGAAAATAACATTTTTGTTTTATTCAAAATCACCATTATTGGCGGGTGGCTAAACAAGGAATAAAAAAATCTTGAATAAAAAAAAAGTAAAGTTTAATAACAAAATCAATAAATAATAATAATAAGGTAGAGAAGTGTATTTTCATAATCCTGAGAAAATGTCACAAAAGAATGAGTGATTAATTCTACCTCATGCCTCATTAGGTATCCTAAGATTACACCAATAATTGACATGCATGACTGCTTTTGAAATTAACATCATGTGATCTGTCATAGCTATTGTTGAATCAAACACTACGCTATGATTATATATTGAATGTACCGATCCTAATACACGAATAGTTTCACCTCTCAATAAATTCTTTTCTTTGCTTCAATTTCCAATTAGTTTCCATGGTCATCCATGCCTCGTAGTGACATATGAGCCTTGTGGTGGGCGAATTCCATTAAAAGAAACTATTAGTTTCTTTATATTGATCGCCACTAACACTCCCCCTGAACAACTACTGAGGATTTGCCAAACAACAAACTTAATCTTTAAAAAACAAACACTCACTCAAGAAGCTCTACGTATAATTGTTAAAAATCATGAGAAAAAATACCATTACTGTTAGTAAAGGAATTGAATGCTGAACTTGAGATTGGAAGCAAGATATTAACCACTAAGATTTGACGCCCCTCCTGCAAATTAAATATGTTCTAAATCATGTTTTAACATGTACACACAGTATAATCAAGCTCAATTAGCAATTGGAATCTCAGTGAATTTACAGTACATACATACCACATGATGAAACAATAAAAACAATTGTGAGCCGAAAGAAATGATGATAGGTGATGAAACAGCTGTTTAAAGATGTCTACACTATTGAGTTTTATGTGACAAATACCAGTGATGTAGATGTTTGTTTGTAATATTGATTGCTATGTCATAAAACAACACATTTACAAAAGATGAAAAATTACGTATCTTAAATATAACAATTAACATTTACAATATAAACAAAAATGACATAGCAGAGAATAGCCCTTTAAGCTGGAATGCTTGTTTCAGAAGGGGTCCTCAACTAAACATCAACAAGAAAAAAAAATACAAAGAAAGAACCTGAAAAATTTAAACATTATAAAAAAATATTACTAAATTAAAAATATAAGAGCTAAACTATACATATTAACAATATTTACTTAGAAATTTCTTAACTATTTATTTATATTTACACAAATTGTCATTTTCATTCATACAGGCCTATAAAAAATTTTCAATTCTTACATAAATTATATACAATTACAAAATTTCCATCCTATCCATTACATGCTTTTTTAGAGCCCTTTTAAACATTTTATGGTCCGATAACTGTTTTAAGTGACGAGGTAGAGCATTATGATGTCATATCTGTGTCATATCTGTCATATTTTAGCCATTATAAGCAAATCACATTTAATTAAAATTAATGATAAGAAAATAATGTATACCTTCCATATAAAATTACATATGATATAATAGTTTCATACAAATACTAAATAAAATCTAACTAAATGTGGATCCTCATTTTTAAAAAGTGAACCCATTAAAAAAATTTACCAATGCAAAAAATCTAACTAATGTGGACCAATCTTTTAAAATGTGGACCCTTTCATGCACATAAACTTTATAATGTCGACCCATTTTATTGTAATTTAACTAATGTTAAACCATCTTTTAAAATTTTGACATTATGTGTATAAAATAAATAATGTGGACCACTTTACAAATTGGGACCCATTTTAAACCCAAAATCGAACTAATGTGGAAATACCTGTGACGTAGTTATATAGAGCATTATGATGTCATATCATACTCGTAGGCAAATTACATTTATTTTTCACATGAAACTTGAACAGTGTTGACTGAGAGTAAGAGGATTCAAACATTCCCATATCTGGGGACAGTCAGAATCCTGAATTATGACATCATGAAGTATGACACATTCCATTTTACGACCAGTATCATAAGCCCATTTTGTTTGAAATTTTTTCAGAACCTCACTGGTTCTTGTCCTTGTTACCAGAACTCTAAAAGTGTCCAGCGTCACCAGTTTTGAATGGATGTGCAGAAAATATCTTTCAAAAATCTAATATAAATTTGCTTCTAGTACTTAATTCTTCATATAATTCTTATTCTTATTAAATTTTGTTTTGTATTTGAAATTTAGAAGTTTATTCTGGACCCCAAGGAAGAACAATATCTTCATGTTGATTGCATATCCAGCTCAAAGTTGCTCCAGTTTCATGGTAATTTTCCAACTCAAATGGCCTAAAAGAAAATTTAGGCTATTCATGCATGACCATGAGTTTGAAACTCAAAGCCTGAGTTCTAATCCAAGTTCTACTGTTCCTCCGAATCAAAGAGGTCGTACATTGGACAACACGTTAACATTAAATGAGATGAAAATCATTATCATCATATAAAACACAAATCTCTGTTATATTTTCTTCTTTTTTTTTTTTGCAAAAAGGAAGTTAATAAATGTTATGTTGAATTGAATTTAATTGAAATCTACTTACATTAGTTTTAAAATCAACCTACAGTACTTTATAATGTAAGTTTTTGATTCTACACATGCTTATAGAATAAACAAAATAAACATACATTTTAGTGTGCCTAAAATCACAAATTGGGATTATAATATTATAAATAATTTTGAAAATAATTATTTAGACTAGTAAAGAAACATGTAATTGTTTTTTTAAAAGAAAACTTACTATATAGAATAACATAATAAAAGAAGCATAAAATAATGTAAAATAAAATAACATATGGTAATATATTTACATGCATGCACTTAGAGGATATTGGCCTATTCGACCTTTGACTGACCTCAAATTCTGAGTTACAACCACATCATTTTTACAGCCTCTGCAAAGTTGCTTTACAATGCATACTTGAATTTGGATTACAGTTCTATTACGTTGTAATATATTTGATAATGAAAATAAAATTGTTACAAGGATAAAATCTGTGGCACATCTCTGTTCCAATAACTCAAAAAAGCAACTAATTCAACTTTTTTATTCCGGTTATCCGGGGGTTAATTGCGCTGGATAATCAAACAATCAATGAAACAGGTAATAAATTTTATTAGCGGGATATAGTAAGCACATATAATTCAGCATCTCAAATTTGAAATGGGAATCTTCAACTGTCAATTACTTCCTTCTCTTTTAATCTGGATCATATTTTAAGACCATAAATCACATAGTAATTACATAACAGATGCATGTATAACTTTATGATCATTTTGCTTTGATATAATTTCTTAGCATAGATTCAGAAATGCATAACATTTTATCTAATAAAACATGTTATGAAGGATGATGCAGGATGATTGATTGAATGATTTGTGTGACATTAAACTAACCCCAAAAACATCCAGTGAAGGTCCTTCTATTGGAATAAAAAGGAAACAATCCCCTTTCGTTTACATTGTTTATGAAAAATCCCATTTTGCTTATCTTTGTTTTCAAAAAATTTTAGTCTGCTAACGTACACATTATTGGCCATATTGCACAAGACCAGCTAATAAACCTTGT